GAAGAAGCATCCAGGTTGGCACAGCACAACTGCCCACAAGTGATTTTTTTTCCTTTAATTTTCCCTGTTTCTCCCGTTCCTGGTGGCAGGGGGGTGCTCGGGAGCCCCAGTGCCCAGCTCGTGCCTCAGCCCCCTTCCCAGGGCACCGGCACCTCCGGGGGGCTCTGAGAGGAGCTCAGGTGGGTGCCCAGACCCACAGCAGCAGGTTTTCCCCTCCAGCTCTGCCCGCTGGGTAACGAGTCCTTTGTAAAAGCAGCAAAACCCCGGGGTGATCCTTCCTTGCTTTTATACTTAGAGGGTCCGGAGGGGCATTGATTTCCCAGTGCTGCTCACCGGGCTTTGCTGGCAGCCCTGGTGGGAGCTGTGAGGTGGTTTTTTTTCCATTTGTAGGTGGTTCCGAGCCTGAGCTGAGCGCGGGGAGGGACCAGCAGCGGAACATGAGCGGGAGCGGCCCAGCCCCGCACCCCTCGGGTCCCCGCAGCGCCCGGGATGATGCTCAGCCCTCGGCACGGGGAGGGTGCGGCCGGGAGCTGCGGGACCAGCACGGCGGGCAGAGCATCCCTCTCCCCGGACACCCCGGGAGCCCGGGGCTCCTCGGAAGCTCCAAGCACCGACGAGCAGGAGGAGCCGCTGGGGTGAGTGCGGGGCCGGGACAGGCGCGGGGCGGGTGGGAGGGGGGTTCTCCTGCCTTCGAGTTTCTCTGCTCCGTGTGTAACTCGCCAGCTTAAAAAAGCTGCAGCTGCTCTCATGGGTGACTGGGGCTTTGAACTCCTTTTTGCTGCACTTCCCACGTTGTTTTTCCCTGTTACTAACGCAAAAAAAAACCAGGTGTGGTTAGAGGCAGGGTCTGCCCATGGAACTGCTAAAGTGAAGAAGCTTTGGGGGTCCCAGGAGAGCTCCTGCAGGTTGTGCTCACTTTGGGAATGTCCCACTTGCAAGTTGGAGATTCAGCTGCAGCACTCAGGGCAGATTTACCAGAGATAATCTAGGACAGGCATGACAGCCAGGGGACAGTGGGGAACAGAGCTGGGCCAGGGGGGACCATCCCAGGGGCCTGGGATGCCCTGAAAAGCCCTGGCAGCATGGCTTGCCCTGGGCTGGCAGGTTACAGCTTTGCAGTGCTCCTAAGAGAGGGCAAAGCACTGAGCTGTGCTCCTTGGTGCACCTGCTGCAGGTGCTGCCAGCACCTGGGTGGCACAGACACAGCAGGGAGGGATGAGAGGCACAAGTGTCACCTTGTTCTCAAGTGCCTGGGACAAAGTAGCCAAGTATGGATGCTTCCCTTTGCCACCAGAAATCATCTGGGGGGTCTGTTTTGTAGCCAGCTGGGGCTTATGGGCACTGTGAATCTTGTGGCCCTGCCTGTGAACCTGCCCCAGCACAGGAGAGATCCTGCAAGCAGGAGGGAGCTGGAGAAGAGCAGCAGAAGTTGTTGCAGAGAAGCATGGCCTTCTCGAGAGGTGTGGAAGGCACGTGGTGGCCAAGAGGGTCCAGCACATCACCTCCTGGTTTTAGTCCAGTGAAGGCTCCAGCCCGACCCATTTGCTGAGAGCATGGGCAGGAGGTGGGCAGGGGTGCCAGCCCAGCAAGGCAGTGCACGGTGTGGGTGCTGGCCAAGGTACAATTCATTGCCCCTCTAGTGTTTTACAGGCTCTCCTGTAAAAACCTGGTGGTTTGATTTATCCAAGGTCCCCAGCAAGAAGGACCAGCACTGTTTCAACAAGCACAACTGAAGGTGTTGGAGAAGAGTAGTGTCCAGTGCTGCTGATGCCTGGAGAGCTGCAGGACACCACCCCCAGGCAGGTCCCACCAGCTCTGTGAGATGTGTGGTCCAGTCTTAGATACCTGCAAGTCTCCTGGGTGGCAAGGAATTCCTTTTTGCTTGGTATGTGGCTCCCTGGCAGAGACTGTGAGTTCAAGATGAAGCTAAGGGTGCTGCAACCACTGCAAGTGCAATTATTCCAGGGTACTAGGGCATGAACTGGGAGAAGTGGCAGGCTGAGGGTTTGGAGGTGATGCAGCCTGACTGGGCTCTGCCTGTACAGCCCATGATCTTATGCTCTACACCTATTTACTTGGATAGCAAGTAAGTCTTTTGGGAAGCTGAAAGCACAATGGACAAGTCACACACTATATTCAAAGGCAGCTGGAAAAATTCAGGGACACAGCTGAAATCTGGGAAATCACTTCTTGCTAGGGGAATGGGTTATCTCACTGGGTTTGAGATCCTTAGCACTTTAACCATCTATCTTTAGGGTACATGGCAGAAATGTGTGGCCGGGCCAAACATGACATGAAGCTGATCTTTCCTGACTGTAGCTGACTGTCCAGCTCTCCTAGATCAGTGTGGGTCAGGAGTGAAAAAGCTGACAGATGAACCGAGGCACCAAGAAGTCACTGTCAACCTGCATCATCTCTTGAGTTTCCCCAGTTCTTTCTTTACTTCCCTTCAGTATGTTGCTGTTTCTTTTATGAGCCATTCTGGACGTAGCAGAACCTGGGTTTCCTCTGTCTCTGGTTTAATCTTTTACTGATGAGCAGTTAACAATTCATTCCTGGGGATTCATTCCACTTGTCATCATCTGCCTGTTGGTGCTCCTATGGTGCATCTTGTCCCTGGATCTAAAAGTACTTTACAAGAAGGTGTTGAGTCTTGCCCTTCCCACTGAACCCACAGAGAATGAAAGTGGAAAAAAGGCATTGGCTCCATGGTGAATCTGGAAAAAGAAGCCATGATTACCCTGCTGAAGGTAGATCAGTGCATCTGTGCAGGAAAATGTTGTTTAGAAGGTCAAGGAAATAAAAGCAAAGCTGTAGTGCTTGTGCTGCAGTTTGCATTGACTGAATCCCTTTCTCCCCCTTTCTAGTTCATGCTGTGACATCCATTGGTATGCCAGGACACCCTGTCAAAGCCCCATTTCCCAGTCATTGTGGCTATGTTGCCTAGAAGTCCTTCATCTTCCCAGAAGCCCCAAGCATTGGCCCTGCTGATCTCAGGGAGGTGACAGCTCTGCAACTGAGAGCTTCAACAGTGAACTACATTCTCTGTCCATTGAAATAATTCAAAAAGGCCAAATTTGCTAGCAGTGGGATACCCACCCATCTTTGGCTTGTAGCTGCACGTGGGACCTGCAGCTGTGGGTCTGCTCTCCACACCTTCCTCCCATGGTAACATGGAGCCATGAGCAATTAAAATTCCATTAAATCAAGTAGCAGAAAAAACTTTGCAGAGATCCTGCAGCACTCAGGAAAAAGAGAAGTCCTGATTATCATTGTGTCCTTCTCTGATGGGCCTCCTCACTCCACCAACACAGCAAACTACGTTCTACTTTATTACAAGCAATTAACCAGCGAGAAGTGAAATGTAAACAACCCAGTGCATAAAAACCCAGTGAGGTTCAGCTGCACCAACAACCCTGGGTGTTCTCAGCCTGCCTTGCTGGAAGCAATAAAGCTGTATTATGGAGGTGACTGAGGAGAGCAGCACAAGCAATTAGAGCCAGTGTTACTGCAAGGCTCTTACAAAGCCTTGTGATTACAATGCAAATAAATATCCCACTCCTTATTTCAGGAAAGCAGTTGTCTTCCCTGCTGTGTGACAAGGACATGACATGGCTCCAGGGAAAGGCCTTGTCAGGTTCATTCACACCAGCCAGGTCTCTCAGTGTGTCCCACCTTAGCCTGGCTTTGCTTGCATTGGGTGCTGACAAGGCTCCAGGGCTGGTGCAAGCTGTAGAAAGTCTCGTTGTCCTCTGTCCTCCCTGGGACAGTGCAAGGAGAGATGTGATGAGTCTGACTTGGTGCCCACTGACCCATCCAGGACCATGGCTCCTGCCATGGTCTCTGTTGTCTGTTCCACACAGCCTTTGCTGGGGCATCTCTAGGGACACAGACTTTTTCACTTCGTTGCCTTCTGTAGGAGTTTGGGCCCAAGAGATAACTACAGGACTGGGAAACACAAGCTCTGTGGTGTGACCAGCGGATGGAAATTACTCTGTTCAGTGTGGTGAGAGACAAGAGGCTGCCTGCCTTGGGATGATGGCAATCATGCTAAGTAATATCCAGGAGCTGCAGGGCTTGATGGTTCTTCATGGTCTTGATAGCCAGGAGCAGTTGGGAGAACACCTGCAGGCACAGCTGTGGTGCACAACACCCCTGGTAACACACACTGGGCACCAAACCTCTGGGCATGGGCCAGAGCATCCTGTCCTGCATGGGGGCTCCTGCACAGAGACATGCTGGTGATGGGAGTGAGATGATGCAGGACAAGGAGCACTGTGGTGGCTCTCTTGGAGGACCTGAGGAAACCACAGAAGCCCAGAATCCTTCCTTGGTGTGAGGAGGACACAGGCCCTCTGTAGGAGAGGGGACATGGAAATCCACTGAGATGGGGGCTGTTGCAAGAAGTTTGGCAATGGAACAAGCTGCCAAGGCAGGTCCATAATTCATCCTGTTGAGCGCAATTAAGGCTTTGAAGTCCTTCCTGTTACAAGGGGATGAAGTTTTTAAAATTTCTCCTGCTTTGTGGAAGGAGGGGATCTTTGCTGTACGCAAGGCCGGGCACTGCAGTTCACCCTGCAGGGATGGATGGATTTGTGAAGACAAGCATTCCTGAGGACAAGGGGCCTTTGGACTGCAGCAGATAATCTGTGGAGCTGCTTCTGTCTGCCACATTTCTGCTGCTGTCTGGTTTGCTGCAAGGCCAGCTCTGAGGAACTGGGTGAGAGTTTTCCTAAACCCTGAACTGCTGGAATTAAGGGACTATGTGGGTCTGTAGATTCATGTAAGCTTGTACCCAGGTCCTTGCAGAGCTAGGATTAAAAACAACATCTCTGAAGGCTCAGACATCACAGAGGACTTTCAAAGGATGCAAAAACGTGTTTGTCAGGGCCTGTCAGGTTTCACAAACGTAGTGTAAGCCACACAGTGTTGTTTTCCTCCTTGCACAGCCCTTCAGGTAGGTCTGTGCTGCTCCCTGCTGTGCCGGGTCCTCTGCAGCTCACCAGCCTGGCATCCAGCATCAGGAAGAAGGGAAGACAGCATGGGATAGCCATCTCATGGCCCCTGACCTGCTTGAGTTCCTCAGATCCTCGTGACACTGAGAAGTAAGAAACCCAAGAGCACTGATTTGTCCTCACTTCTTCAATGGCTCTTGCCCTGGCTTGTTAGAAGCAGGAAAATCTGCCTTTGGTTCAATCCACCCCAGGTTTTCTTTCAGAGATGGGGGACAAGAAGACTTGTGCCAACTCCCCACAGTCACAACGGGGCTCCGAGCTCCTCTGTCATTGAAGTATTCCTTCCTTACACTGGTTTTTTGTTAGTTATCCACTGTGTGCCCTCTCACACCACTGACTGTCTTTGGTTGCTGTGGATTTATGGGGTGAAGAGATCCCTGTTGGCAGAGAACTTCCTGTCCTGCAGGCTTGGGTTGTTAAACACACTGGCTGTAGCAAACAAGGGTGATAACCTTTGGTATGTGAAGGGACCCCAGGTCTCACCTGACTGCCTGGAATTGGTGCTCATGTAAACGCTGAGCTCCTGCTGCTGGTGCTGATGAGGGTGCTGGAGGACACCTGGTTCATGGGAGCATCACTGCTCAGGCATGGTGCATTCTGTACTGCCCATGAGAACTGACAGCTCCATAAAAATCAGGATGATGGTTCCCAGGTGAATGTGGTACCATCAGTGGCAAGGGTTAGATCTTAGGGTCACTGTGTCCTGAAGTGACCAGCCATCTTCTGCCCTGCCTGTGGCATGTTGGAGGGCTAGTGTTTCCAGGAATGGATTACATATGTATACTTGGGCCAGAAAATTCAGGGCCTTATTAACCAGCTCCCTGCTCAAGAGGCAGCCTTGGCTTCTTGCTACTTGCTTCTCTGAGCAGTGGAAAACCAGGCAAATCCCTCCTGTCTCAGGAGAAGGAAGGATGCAGCCCAGCCCCTGTAATGGTACAAACTGACTCCAGGACTCCACTGAGCCCCCTCCAGGCACAGCAGTGATGTTGAGGGGTCCATCTCCACTGTCAAACCAGGAAGCCTGTGTCTGTTGGACAAAAGGGGCTGAACGTCTCTGGGTCAGGGCATCTGCAAGCTGCAGAGAGCTGGGAGCTGGAAATATGTGGCTGGCTGTGGGGACCATCAGGGGGTGATCACTTTGGTTTCCCTATTCTTTCCTGTCTGCTGGTGGATCCAGGATCCAAGGCTGTATCTTTCTACTTCTCTTTACTTTTGAGCAATTCCATGGAATGCTGTGTGTGCCTCAGTTTCCCCACCTAAAAAGACTGAAGTGTTTTTTTTAAAGTGCACTGAGAAGTGTCCATATTCCTGGGAGACACTTCCATGGCTCTGCCATGTCTGGCTCAGAAGTGCTTTGCTGCCCCTGTGCTAGAGCAGTGTCTTTAACCTCCTTAGGTCCATTTCCAACCTCTTCTGTGCCAGGTGATGTTCTCCAGAACTGGGAGTGGGCTGTCACTGGCAGGAAACCTTACCAGCAGTAGCTGGGTTTGGGCAGGCACAGGTACTGCTTCTCCTCAGCTGCCACCAGAACTTGCTCATCCCTGATCCACACCAGAATTCATCTCAGGGAAGCACAGTCTGCAGCAAAGTGAGGCCGTGCTCATGAGAGGCACCAGGCACAGCCTTGATGCTGCCACAGGGGTTCCAACCTGAGACCACCGCAGGGAGGGGGTGCAGTGGGTTGACCCAACCAGCACCCAAGCACCTGGCCTTTTACTTGCAAAATTCACCAAGTGATGCAAAAATCAGTCACTCACCACTTCCCAGCAGCAGATTGACACCCAGCCAGTCTGGAGCAATGACTGCTTTGACAGACTAAATCCACTTATATTTAAAAATATATAAATATCATATGGATATAACACATAGAATATATATGTTATATTATATGTATATTTTATGTTTAATGTACGTATCTTTATACATTGGTGGGGGTTTTTTTAGTATTTTTTTTTCCTGAGAATGACACTGGATGGCAGGGAATATCCCTTAGGTCAGCTCAGGTCAGCTGTCCCAGCTGTGTCCCCTCTTGCCTCCCCCCAGCCCATTTGCTGGGCAGAGAAAATTAGTGAAAGCCTTGATGCTGTGCAGGCAGGTCCAGCAGGAGAGCAAACATGGGTGTGTTTATCACCAGTGGTTCAGCACAAACCCAGTCACAACCCCACGTGTGCTGCAGTGAGGACAGTTCACCCCATCACATGTGGAGGAAGAGCCATGCACTGTTCCCCCAGGGACAGCACCACGTGCCTGGCTCTGACAGTGCAAGGGACAGGAATGGCTGCTGGAAGGGGGGAGATGGGCTTCATCTAAGTCATGTGGGGTGGCTTAGGCAAGTCCTTGCAGCATGGTGTGTTCCAGGAGGGACTGAGGCCTCTCAGCTCTCCAGGGCTCTCAGCACGTTGCTGGATTGGGCTCAGATGCACTCTTGTGTTCCTGGTGAGATGTACACTGGAGTGAATGTCCCAGCATTCAGAACCAAAAAGAGCTGGGTTTTTTGAGAGTCATCCAGGCTTCCCTGGAAGCTGGGCTTGGAGGTTCATGCATCTCACAGCCTCCTGTCATGTCTGTGGTGCTGTGCCTGAATCCCACAGGTGAGCTGTAAAGAGACATGAGCCTACCCTCTCTGGATGTGTGTCCGTCACCTTTTACATCCTTCTCAGTGGAGAAAAAACTATTTGTAGGGTTTCTTACACTTCTGTGGTCCCTCTTCTAAGAAAAATGCTCAAGTTATAGCATATTAATTGCTCCGTAAAAGCATCTGCTTTTTCTCCACTGTAAGAAGGATCAAGGGCATTTGTTACTCACATCCAAAGTTGGATCAAAATGGCCTCGATCTTAAAGGATGTTCTTGCTTTTGAAGTAGCCATAATTGGAGCCCTTGAAGGGAGAGGAAATCTGCAGATTAAATCCTTTCTGGCAGTGGATCCAGTAGTAGGTGCCAGATGCAAACATCTCCAGTTCAGAGGTCTGGCTTTTTTACTGGGACATGACCAAATTAAGAGTTGGCTCGGCCCCTGGGTTGCTCATCATAAAACCTCTTCAGCTCTAGAAGCTTGTAATAAAATTAGGAACCAGGTAGGTTATAGCACAGAAGGGTCCCAAGGGGCTACAATCACAGCATCCATTTATGACTCTTACCTCCAAGTGTAACAATGAGAGCAATTACCTTGAGTATTGTCTATGTCTCCCCCTTTTGGTCCAGGTTTGCTTCTGGAGATTCCAAGCTCATCTGCAGCGAGGATGACAAGGAACATTTTCAATTCAAAGACATCAGGGATGGGTTCAGCTCGACCTTTGAGAAGATTGTAGAGTCTGACCTTATGAAGGGTACATACTACAGCAGCTTGGACTCTTTGGATGTCCTCTCCCTCACGGACGAGACAGACAGCTGTGTCAGTTTTGAGGCCCCACTCACCCCGTTGATCCAGCAAAGGGTCAAGGAAAGCCCTGAGCTCTTGGAGCAGAAACTCGTAGCCCACCAGAGAGAAGCTCTTCATCACATGGCTGCTGATAAGCAAGAGCAGGCAGCAGTAAAACCAGCAGAGGGGGATTCTGGAAGCCCTCTCAGGCACTCTATTACCAGCAGCAGGTCGGAAAACGTGCTGAGCCGGTTGTCCTTGAAGAGCATCCCAAATGGGTTCCACGTGGAAGGGTCAGAGGAAGATGCCACCAAGATCATTAATTCCATCAGGTAAGGCAGGCTGGGAATTCCTCAGGCAAAGGGTTCCTTGTCTTATGGGGTCCCAATCCAAGGGCGAGACTCAGAGGACTTTTTAGAGATGGAGCTGCTTTTTTTCCCCTTGTGCTTCCTCTCATGTGCTTTCATGGCAGAGAGGCCAAACACCAACAGGGCAAACTTTTCCTGCCCGTGATCAGCACTGCTGCTGGGGACCACAGCCTCAAGGCATTAAACCAGCCAGTCCCCAGTGCATCTCTGGCTCCTCCCTGCTCTCAAACCCATGACCCCAAACTGCAGGTGAGCTGCAGGGTCCTGTAGGAGCCCTGTGAGTCCAAAAAAAGCCAGGGCTCAGTGCTTTCTGCTCGTGTTTGCTCTGGAAGGCACCACCACTCATCTGGCCACTTGTTAATCCCATCTGTTCCTTGAGCAGGCAAAAATGAAAAACCAGGGCTCAGTGCTTTGTGCTCGTGTTTCCTCTGGAAGGCACCACCACTCATCTGGCCGCTTGGTAATCCCATCTGTTCCTTGAGCAGGCAAAAATGGTGCTCCTCTGACACAGCACTGCCTTGTCTGCCTGACATCTGCAGAAGCCTTGGCAGGTTGGAGGCAGGCAGGCACACTCCCAAGTGTGCTCTGAGGTGCAGGGGAACCTCAAAGTTTCAGTTAGAACTGGGTGTCCCTGTAGAAGCCTCCCCAAAGATTCTGCTGCAGGCAGAGGAGATCAGCAGAGACTTTATCCTCTGGAGGAGCTGAGACCCAAACTGTCATCCCCAGGAGGCAGCAGCTCTTCTGCAGTGCAGTTCCTTGCACGAGGAATCCAGGTGGTGAGCAGTCAGGTCACGGGGAACTGGAGCAGGGCTGTATATCTAGCTGGCTATCAGGCCTTCGATAGGTCACACTGGCCAAAAATGTGCAAATAAGTGCCACAAAGCCATAACTGGCCTTGAGCAAGGAAGCAGAAATGCTTCCCCATCTGCGTGGTGACAGTGGGACTGCTCAGCTCGTTGTCTGTTGGAAGAACTGGCTGTGACACCAGCCTAAAGCTGGGAGAGAAGCAGCCCAGCAGCCACGGCAGGGCTGCTCCCAGTCTCTTTACATGATTTGAACAAGTGCATTTTCTCATCCTTGGCAAATAATCAGAACTGGAAAGCAGGCTGCCTATGCCTCAGATTTCCTGAAAGAGCTCTGAAAGAGCTTGGAATCCCTTTCCATACCAGGGGAGAGAGAGGAAGCTTAAAATGCTGTTGGGGCTGCTTGCTTTGAACAGATTTCTCCTCAGTTCTTAAGGAGTAGTCACTCCCTCTTCAGTTTTATCCTACACATTTCAAATTACCATTTCATTTGACCTGAAATGAAAGGGAGTTTGTCCAATGTCCAGTTCACAAATGTGTGGTGGTTCTTTTTTGCATTTTTGGTTAGGACAGGAAGAAACTTTCCTTAGGAAGCACATCCTCATGGAGAGGGTGATCAGACGTTGGGATGGGCTGCCCAGGGAAGAGGTGGAGGCACCGTCCCTGGAGGTGTTGAAGGAAAGGCTGGATGTGGCACTTAGTGCCATGGTCTGGCTGATGTGGTGGTGTTAGGTCATAGGCTGGACTTGATGATCTGAGAGGTCTTTCCCAGCCTTGGTGATTCTGTGATCCTCTCATTCTGTGCAACCAACCTGTGGCGTTTTCTGTGGGTTTCATCGTCACTTCACTGCTCCTCGAAGTGTTTCTTCTCTCTGTGCAGCGACGCCAGCTTGAAAGAGACACTGTCAGACTCCGACTCTGACATGGGCAGCACGGAGCAGCTGGACCAGGGCAGCACAGACACCTTGGCCAATGGCTGCAGGGTGGACAGCGAGGCTGCCAAGAGGCTGGCCAAGCGCCTCTACCGCCTGGAGGGCTTCAAGCGCTGCGACGTGGCACGTCAGCTCGGGAAGAAGTAAGTGGGGCTTGGGTTGCAGCCAACCCTGCCAGGGGGTGATGGAAGTGGCAGCCCCAAGCACGGTCAGCAGAAGCACCGTGGTGCTGGGGAGGGCCTGGGGAGCACTGGTTGTGATGGGACAACAGGGCAAAGGCGGGAAGGGACAAGGCTGCTGTTACAAGGGCTTGATGGGTGGAGTCAGGGCTGCTGGAGATGCTTCCAGTTGAAACTGGTCCAAGTCCAATGCCCTTGCAGTCTGAATCTTACAAGTTGCCTGCATGTATTGGGCATTAACTGCCAGAAACTGCTGCCTGCCAGAACCAAGAGCTTGCTGTGTTTGGTAGGGGCCCAGCAAGACCTCCCCTAAAGTAGTTCCCAGGCTGAAGGCTTTGGGATCCAGACCTTGATCTGCACTGGGCTTCCTGCCAGCCCCCAGGTTTTTAATGTCTGCACCCCAAAATCTTGCTGCAGTGCCTCCTGACCCAGTCTGTATAGGTGGCATGAAGGTTTTGGTGGAGAGCCAGGTACACAGCACAGGTCCAAGTACCTCAAGCTGGGAGATGTGCCTGGGTTAGGCAGAAGGGAACTAAAAAGTGTTTATTCAAAAGCAGGAGAGTTACTGAAGTACCTAAGAGAGAGAGTAACAGTAATGAGTGTAGCAGGAACAGATCATTCCAGGATGCCAGTGGCTGTGAGGACACCAATCCCCATCATCCTTCTCCTGGGTGAGATACAAACTGTTGATGGGTTTTTGGCTTTTTTATGTCCTCGCTGTGTCTTGCTCCTGTCCAGATCAGCAGGACACAACTTTCTCTCAGCAAACACCCAGGCTTTCAGTACCAAGGATTGATGTGACCCCCAGCATAGTCCTGGGACAGAAGGAGCCTATGAATTACCTCCTGCAGAGGCTTTTTATATCACCTGGCAGCATCTTTGTTCTGCTATGGCTCTTGCAGCAGGTGTGCGGCTGGTTGCTGCTGCCTCTAGCATCGTTCTCCTTTCTTGCAGATGTGCCCTGCTCATTGGGTGGAGCAACTGCCAACCAGTTGATCCCTGGGGGAGCATCTCATGGAGCAATCAAAGTTGGAAGGGACCTCTAGAGCTCATCTAGTCCTTCTAGTCTGAGTGTGTCCCTTTGCTAGTTCCTGCTGTCCTCACTCACCCCTGCAGTCCTCACACTGGAAAGCTGTTTGGGGCCCCCCATTTGGGAATGGACACAGCCTGTAAGAGAAAACCTGTTTTGATCAGCTGGGTTTTTTACTTCCATAATTTTCCAGCACAAGAACTGGATAGAGCTGCAGGCTCTTGGACCAAGCAGGTGGATTGGCAGAGCAGGAAAGGAAGAAGGATGAGGATAAGTGTGTTTTAAGCTGGTTTTGCTCCCTTAAGACAATGCAAGGCCAGCCTACAGTTGTGGAGCAGGGTGAGTTTAAGTGATGCTTTCAGGTCAGCTTCATGTAGGAGGTGGACTGGCTAGGAGGGCTGTTCAAAAAGTAAAATCCCATTTTAAAGCTTTTTAAAACTCAATTAATCCCTTTTTTTTTCTTTGTGAACATTGGCAATTTTCTAAAAAAACCCAAACCCAAATGAAAACCAGTCATCACTGTCAAACAAGTAGGAAAGGCCTGATGACCAAGGAAATGGAGGTTGTCTATCTCCAAATAGTTTCTTTCCAGGTGACACAGATCTGTGAAGTGAACCTCAAATCCAGAAATTACCTTTGTTTCTCTGAAGAGCATGTGTTTCAGCAACTAAACTTTCCATGGAAGAGCCTTGTTCCTGGCTTTGTTTGTGCATGGTCTCCACTCTGTCACCACCCATGGGCTCACATCTCTTACTGGAGGGCAGCTGAACTATCTCAGCTGCCAGACCATGAAGATGGTTGTGCCAGGCACTTCCTTGCAAGGTTTTCCAAGAGAGTCCTGTACTTATAGAGTCACAGAATCAAGAATCACAGAAGGTTGTGGGTTGGAAGGGACCTGTGGAGATCATCAAGTCCAACCCCCCTGCCAGAGCAGGAAGGAATCAGGCCTTTTTTTCTGTGAAACTGCACATGTGAGGTGGGACCTGACCTGTGGTAGGGAGAACACTGGCTAGTCCTATGCAGACATAGAGCCAAGAGGGTCCAAGAGGAGGCCTGGAGCCGGATTCTGATCATTCTTTGACACAGGGGTGGAGATGTGGTGACATCTCCTTTCACAAAAGTGTGGTCATCTTCTGCATCTCACATCACCTTGCTGTGAAATTCCAGGACAAGTAGAGAAATCTCCTTGGGAAGCTGGCAGGAATCCACATGCCAATCATTATGGCACTGCCTGAAGCAGACTGACCTGGGAGGCCACGGGACCATGAGGTCACGTACTGTCCCAGACCCAGCAATCCCAAATTATAGTATTGTTTTAGGAGTGTGAGACTATGTGGCTTCACACAGCTTTGAAACAGTCTCCTGCACAAACTCCAGCACCAGTACTGGTGTCCTGCTTCTCAAAACTCAGCCTGGACTTCTCCCCTGGAACTGTCACACTGCTTTGCCTGATCCAGCTGTGTGTTGTCCTTCCAGACAGCATCCATGCCAAGGGCTTGACAGTGTCCACCTCACAGCAGAAGATGGATCAATGCTGTAGGAAAAACAATCAGTTCCACCTGTAACATGTCCCAGGGTAAAACTGGGTGTGCAGTGCTCAGGAATATGCTTCTCATCTTGGGGGGGGGACAGAGAAGGAATTGTGCATGGCAAATGCTGAGCTTATGGAGCTTATCTTCCATTTCTTGCCAGAATTCCTTGATTATTCTTGCACTTCTGCTACCTGAGTTGTGTAGATAGAGGAACTTCACAGTACCCATTCTGGCTTTAAAGGCAACATGTCCCCAAGCATTCTGCCAAAAATGTGGCAGGGAAAGGGTTTCTGGAGAAGCATTTGGGGATCAGCAGGGCCAGCTCAGCTGAGCTCTCCTGCTCCAATGCCCAGGGACATCCATGTGAGACACTAGGTTCTGTGGTGAGAAGGTGGGATGGGAGCACACATGGAGAGCAGAAATACTGCAGTAGGAGAGGGGACATGTCCAGGAATGGGGGAGGACTGGGTAAGAGAGAAGGTGCCCAATGAGCACAGGACATCCTTGTGGCTTTCACTTCCTACCTGGTTTGGGAGGATGTTCTGCCTGGCCATCAGCACAGCAGAGGGGGACACTGGGGGCCCACAGTTTTCATCCTCAGGTGTCTTGGGCTGGCAGCTGTAGAGCTAGGCTGTGAGCACACCGGGGACCTTTGGAGATCTTCCACCAGCATTTTAAGCTAGAAGAAAGTCCCCCTGGGTTGGGATCACGTCTGCTGTGTCTCACTGGGAGCGTGGGCTGGCCAAAAGGAACAGCCATCTGCTGTTCCTCTTGTGGACAGTGTCTTTTTCCCTGATGAAAGGGCTGACTGCACCCTCTTTAATTACAGTAACGAATTTAGCAAGTTGGTAGCAGAGGAGTATCTCAGCTTCTTTGACTTCACTGGCCTGACCCTTGACAAAGCACTCAGGTGAGCTGATCTCTGGCACCCGACACGGGGCCTGGGCTGGGCAGAGCAGAGCAGCCTGGTGGGTTTCTCCTTCGGGCTCCCCAAGGCCCTGGAGGCTGTTCCTGTGGTAGGAGCAGGGAGTGGGGGGAGCTACAGGTCGTTGTTTCATCTTCGCTCTGGTGTCCTGCTTGGCACCAGGTGCTGGGGTTTGACAGGAGGGCCCACGGCCTGCTTCCCCATGGTGGAGAGCAGCTTTCCCAGGAGTCCGAGCCTGTGCAAAATCAGAGCAAATGGGAGCAGCTTCTTCTCCTGGGACAGAGAGCCCACCCTGGTGCCAGCAAGGTGTGCCCAGTGCCAGCACGTTGCCCCGCACAGCTCAGAGCTGGCTCCGCAAAGTGCCTCTTGCATTGCACCCGCAGGGCCCCGGGGGTGTGCAGGCCGGGGGGAGGACAAAGGCCTTCCCAGCTGCTCTGAGGCCCCCTCAGCCTGGTTGCTGGATCCAGCACCGCTCTTAAGTCCTGCTTTGTCTTTGCAGGACGTTCCTGAGGGCGTTCCCGCTGATGGGAGAGACGCAGGAGCGGGAGCGGGTGCTGATCCACTTCTCGCGCCGGTTCTGCCAGTGCAACCCAGAGGAGAGCACGTCCCAAGGTACCAACCACCTCCTCTCCCGGCCTCTGCTGTTCCTTGCAGACCCACAGAGCACCTGCGTGGCAGAGCTTGAGTGGGAAACAAGCCAACTGCAGCCCAAGGCCTGAGCAGCACTCACTGGGCACCCTGCAGCTCCTGTCCTGGGATCCTGCCCTGCTGCTCCTGGGAGGGACGGGGGGCACCAGGGGCTGTACAGACCCCCCCAGGAGAGCCAGATGAGTCCCCTGAGGCTCTGAGTGGGGGCTCCTAGGGAGCCTTGTCCCCTGAAGTGCACACAAGAAGAGCTGAAGACAAGCTCCTCAGTGGCCCAACACCCAGGGAGGTGGGAAGTGGCTCTCAGGGGTTGCAAATTCCTGCAGCTTTGGATTGCAAAGGGGCTGCTGGCTGGCCACAAGCTCTTCTCCAACTAGAATGACATTTTCCCTTTTATCAGTGATATCCCAGTGAAGCACAGGTTCAGGTTTCATTTCCCTCTGTTTGTGTGATGTTCTCCCCCACTGATCCAGAGAGGACTTTCCCATCCAGCAGGTCTTCCACTTGTAGCCATGAAGCTTCAGGCTAAATTTTCAGCAGCAGTCCCCAGCTGAAATGTCCCAGGTGACAGGTCCTGACCCTCAACATGATCCCCAACCATATTGCATCCATCCACACTGCTACAGACAAGGGTCTTGGGACCCTTTCTCCCCTGCTGGTCCTCAAGTGTCCAACACCCACCAAGAGGCCATGCCCACACCAACCTGAGCAGAGGGCCAGATCTCCAACCCCATCCCACACCCTTCAGCATGAGGTTGTTTGGAGGGCAGGGAGTAATCCAACAAAACACAAGCTTTGCTGTGGCAACGTGGGCTCCAAAGCTGCTGAAGGAGCCACACCATGGCAGCTGCTCAGAGGAGAAATGACACCCCAGTTCTGAATTACAGAGGAGAAATTACATCCCAGCTCTGTGAGAAGGTGCCTGCTACTGCAGACACGAATAAACCCAGAAAGTGAAACTCTTCCATAGCTGCATGGCCCTCAGTGGAGATGTCACTGCTGCTGGTAGGACCTGTTTCAAAAATGTTACACTCCTGAACAGCACAAAACTATAAAGAATAAGGAAATCTGGATGTGTAACACAGTATTGATGCTGCTGTCGTGACCTATTTGTTGACCTTTAGGGCCACAGCATTGCCTGTGGGGGTGGCAGCACATGTCACAGGCAGGACCACTTTCTGCAGGCCAAATGTAAACTGAGTGAGTCCTGGGGAGGGCAGAGCTGCACTCAGGGCTGGAATTGAATGGGACTTGAAAAATACAATTGTAAGCTAAGTGCTACTTGAAGCTGATGCGATGGAGGGAAGCAAAGTGACTCCTTCAGGTCACATCTTTTGCAGATATTGCAAAAACATGGACTAGACACATGGTTTGAGAAAGCTATTGAAAGCTTTTTCCTCAGGAAGCAGTTCCCTCTTGTTGCATCCAGACTAAACTTCCACAAGGATGTTCCACCAAGATGAAATCCAAGGCACTGTGTATTATCTAGATTTCTAAAGAAACAGCTCAGACTGTGATGGTCCATTGGCTGAGAAGCATGACAGAGTCCAGGCACTTTTGTCTGGAGATGGTCAGCTGGCTAAGGTCTTCAAGCCCTAGTGGCTTAGAAGCCATTTCAGGGCATTGCTGCATGTTGCAGCACCAAGGGTCACTTCAGCCTGTATGGTGGGATGCTGCTGGTGAGGATGGCAGAATTGCTGTCCTCTTTGACATTTTATCAGTGCTTTCCTGTGCTGGGGAAGCCCAGAAAAGGAGCTACATGGTAATGTTGTGACACTGTGTAAGAGAAAAAGTGAATGCAACTGAGCTAAGCAAGTGAGAGATTTGGGACACCAGCTCCACCTTGGGGCCATATGGGACATGATTGACTCCACCAAAGTCATAAAGTGAAGCCAGGTGAAGATGTCAGCTCAGAACCTCCCACAGAGGCTCCAGAATATGCACTGGGGAGGCATGTTGCCCTAAGGCCAAAGCTACTTCTTGTGATGGGGAATGAAACACCTTTCTTAGGAATTGCTTCCTTCTTCACCATGTCCCCAGGACCTTCAGCCCTCATAAAGAAACATGTGATGTTCTCATGAGAAGCTCTTCCTTCCTCAGAGGCCATGTTTTTGTCAGGAAAGGGAGGAGCTCACATCCCTCCATCCTGGGCTCCTGCCTTTAGCTGGCAGTGTTTAGAGCTTGGCCTTCAGCACAAGCTGCTCGGGGCTTGTCACTGTTTCACAAGAATGGTGCCTTTGTCTAGCAGCTGGTTGGGGTGGGGACAGGCCCAGCTGTGGCTGCACATCCTCCCCCAGGAGAAGAGACCAGTGTCACCTCCCCACGCTGGCCTGGGGTAGGTCCCAGCCTGACATGAGGGCACCAACTGGGCACAAGGAAACGAGCCAGGAGCACCAAATCCTGTCTGGCTTTGTCTGTGGAGCAGCCCATCTGTGTGAACACACCAAGTCATACCAAGAGCAGGGCCAAAGACTGTGACTGTTCCTGCCCCTGCCTTCTCCCTGGTGCTCTCCAGCCCCGCGAGGTCCTTGCAAGGACCAGCTCATGTGCCAGACTGCCTGCCCATGGTGTGTGGGGACCAGTCTTTTGAACCTGAGCAGCTTCAGGCCACAGCATGGTTTTGAAATAACAGCAAGTCAGCAGAGTGCCTGGTGCAGAGGTGCCTGTGCTGCCTCCAATGGAAGGAAAACTTCTGTGAGTTTTATTAAGTCAGAGAGCCCAAAGTGCTGCACTCATTTGTGGTAATGATGTTTGTTGAACGACTCAAGACCCTTCAGGCTGCCTGGGCAGGGTGGCTGAACACCCCAGGACAAACCCCTGAGGTGATTGTGATCAACTGGGGGGAAACCAGCTCAGTTTGCCAGGGTCTCTGCCCCATCCTGCAATGGCATTGGCACAAACTGGGTATGGAGGAAGGCTCAGTGGGAAGTTTGGTCTTTAGAAAGCCCTTGACAAAAGTGCTTTAAAGCCACTTCCCTGGTGATCATTTCAGGAGAAGGTGAAACTTGAAGGAAAAAAGCATTTATTTATTTATTTATTTATTTATGATCTATCAAGCTTGTGCAGTTTGAAAGAACCAGATATTCTTCTTGGGGGTCCCCAGGTGTAGCAGCTCTCCTTGCAGGGGCTGGGCTGCTGAGGCAGCCAGCAGGGGCTGGGGCAGGGGCAGGAGCAGGGCAGGGCAGGAGCAGGGCAGGGCAGGAGCAGGGCAGGGCAGGAGCAGGGCAGGGCAGGAGCAGGGCAGGGCAGGAGCAGGGCAGGGCAGGAGCAGGGCAGGGCAGGAGCAGGGCAGGGCAGGAGCAGGGCAGGGCAGGAGCAGGGCAGGGCAGGAGCAGGGCAGGGCAGGAGCAGGGCAGGGCAGGAGCAGGGCAGGGCAGGAGCAGGGCAGGGCAGGAGCAGGGCAGGGCAGGAGCAGGGCAGGGCAGGAGCAGGGCAGGGCAGGAGCAGGGCAGGGCAGGAGCAGGGCAGGGCAGGAGCAGGGCAGGGCAGGAGCAGGGCAGGGCAGGAGCAGGGCAGGGCAGGAGCAGGGCAGGGCAGGAGCAGGGCAGGGCAGGAGCAGGGCAGGGCAGGAGCAGGGCAGGGCAGGAGCAGGGCAGGGCAGGAGCAGGGCAGGGCAGGAGCAGGGCAGGGCAGGAGCAGGGCAGGGCAGGAGCAGGGCAGGGCAGGAGCAGGGCAGGGCAGGAGCAGGGCAGGGCAGGAGCAGGGCAGGGCAGGAGCAGGGCAGGGCAGGAGCAGGGCAGGGCAGGAGCAGGGCAGGGCAGGAGCAGGGCAGGGCAGGAGCAGGGCAGGGCAGGGGCAGGGGCAGGAGCTGACTGCTGTGTGTTGCAGATGGGATCCACACGCTCACCTGTGCCCTGATGCTGCTGAACACAGACCTGCACGGCCATGTAAGTAGTGCTTGAGATGCCTCCTTCCTGTTTTGCTTTCTCAGGATAGAGATCTGTCCCCTCATGCAGGATATGTTGCTGAAAAATAGTAACAGGTTGGCAGAGAGTGCTCTGACCAGCGAGGAGTTTTGGGTCCTGAGTGTCACTCCAGACTCAAGCCAAGGGAGTATCTCCTGCTGATGTTACCTTGTGCATTACCCAGGCAATGCAGCTTCCTCCCCAGGACCTGCTGCATGCATCAGCCCTGTCCAAGAAGTTTTCATGGAGAGGTCTTCACCACCAGCTCCTGTGGTTCCCCCATTGTGCTGCTCTTCTCCTGCTACAGACACCTGAGGCTCCCCTTGCCCCAGGAACTGCTGCAAGGAAGTTGGTGGCTCCATACAGGTCCACATTTGATCTGTCCTTCCCAAAACACAAAGGAAGTCCCAGCTGTTTTTTCCCCCCGAGGTGTAACTGGCAGCCTCTAGAGAGTTTCATATCAGAAAGGCCTCTCCTCAAAAAGCAGGGTGAGCAGAGCTAAGGTGTGGTTGGAAAAGAGCAGTGATCTCTCACCACCTTTTAGAGGCTCTTTCTGGTGGCAGAGGTTGTTCCTAAAAGCTCAACCAGAGCATAGAGAAGGGGAGCAGAGTGAGAGGAAAAATGACTGCAGAGGGGAGATGGGGCTGGGTGTGTGGGACAGCACTGGGATGGTGAGTACCCTTGGAGACCCCTGCCAGAGTGTGCATCTGGGGATGTGCATGGACTCTGCACCCTGCTCAGTGCTGGGGAGGGCTGTAGCACCTTTGTCCCAGGTCTCCTGCCTGCTCTTCAGCCTTATGGTGCAGGCACAGAGCGTGGCAGTGAGCCCAGTGGGCTGTGCCCCCCTTGCAGGGGCAGAGGGGCTCCTCAAGCCTTGGCTCACTGACGTACCTTCTATAGCCCTCAGAGAGCTCAGGCCTAGAGCCACAAACTCCTCAGAACTTGTGTGAAGGTGGAGGGTGCATGGGGGGCTGGCTTGGTATAGTAGCCTGTGAGTGTGAAAACACCCTTTTTTCTGCCCCCAAATACTATGATTTCCAAACTGTATCATCAGAGGCCTCATCTGTCTCCAGCTGGTAACAATTTATGGTGCATCTGCAGAGACTTGCCCTTATTTTCTCTTTGTTAGCCTGTCAAAGAGTGGCCAGTAGGCCATAGCCTAGCTTAGGTTTTTTGCATCCTGTTTTCTAATCACACCTGGGAGGAGCCTTTTCTTCTGTGGGTGGAAAGAGGACACTACATGATTGCTCTTCACTTGTGATGGTGAAGATGCAAAGGCCACCAGCTTCACTAGTGCCATCCTGGCAGTCCACTGGGAGCCCCTCCCCATCATTGCAGCACAGATGCTGCCTTCATGAGAGTGGGAAGGCTGGGACACAATAGTCTGTGCAGGGAGTTGCTGGTCGTGGCAAGAGCATCCTTTCCAGATGTGCACTGTGGCCTCCACCAAGTTGCTTCCAGCTGCTGCAGCCTCATCCCTCAGGGAACAGGCAGCCTATGACTGGCCATCAGGTCCATTTCCACCCACAAGGCTCCAGTAACATGTCCAGGCCAAGTGTCTTTGCACACAGTGGGACAGCAGTGGGGACAACTGCTGGGAGGGTCCCACAGGGTGTTGTTCATCCTTCAGCCAAAAGGGTTGGAGTCAAGGAGGTATTTTCATCAAAGCATTTCCTGCAGCAGCAAAAGCAGCATTGTGACAGAAAGCAAACTGCCATTTCACTCCAAAATAATCTTATTTTGTCTCATTTTTAAAATTAATACAAATTCAAAGTGTGTCTCTGAGAAGACAGAAATTACTGAAAAGGCCCAAACCCCCTAAACTTCCAAACTCCTACCATTTCTATTTATCATTGACAAGCTGGCTAAGAGGCCTGGTAAGAAGAAAAGATCTCATGTTGTCTAAGCAAAGAAAACACAGCTTTCTTTTGACCAGGTCTAGAGATACCTGAGCCTTTCTTTGAAAAATCTTCTCTTTATTTTTCCACGTGTGTAACATTAATTTCTTCTTCTCCTTCTCCTCCTTTTTTTTTTTTTTCCCCTTCCTTCTCTGCTCCTGGAACTTCTCTTTCTGCTCTTTAACCCTTAACCAGGTGGTAAGTGCAGTCATTCTAGTGTTTGGCTTGAAAACACTGGCATTTGACTTGGGTTTGGTTTGGTTTTGGTTTTTTTTGTTTGGGTGGTATTTTTTTCTGTATTTAAAAAGCAAAAAAAAAAGGATTTTTGTTTGCCTGGATTCCTCAGTGGTTGTGCAGTGTCCTTCACTACTTAGCAAACCATTAGCAGCTGATGTGCATCATGTGAGATGTTCCTCCATGCACTGCAGTGTTCCTGGGACTGTGTGTCTTGATCCCTCCCCCCTTTTCATTGAAGGTGCTGTGGTGATGTTGCCCATCACTTTTCATGTTATCCCCTGGTGTGTGTGTTTCAGTGTTTTGCTGTGCAGTGAGGTGCAGTGGGACAGTCCCTTGGTTAGGAAAGGGTGGTTGATGTGGCTGTGTGAAGGGACAGCTCCTGCTGCAGTGTCTCTGGGAGGGGCTAGTTCCTCATTCCAGCATCGACCATCACAGATACCGAGTCCAGGCTAAAGAGGAATGAGACTGGTTTTCAAACATGAGTTTTGCACCTGGCCACACTGGAATGTTGCTTAATACTGTTGATTTTCTACCACAGGTGTTCTCAGACCCTGTTTCCAAACTGTCCAGAAAGCTTACTGTATTTCAAACAAGACACTCCATTTTTCTTAACTCACCTGTAGTTGTTTAAAAACCAGTTGTCACCAACAAACATTACAAGTCTTGTACTGTAATCCAGGTTATTGCAACTCTGCCTTGCCCTGCTGGTGCTATTTGAGCTCCAGGAGATCTTATACCAAAGGAAGTATCACTCTGCTCCATCTCTACCCTTGGAGACAAAGCTTTGGGATGTCTCCTTTTCAGCTGTCAGTGTCGTTCAAACCTGTTGGCCATGGAAAGATGGTAACAACTCAACACCTCTGCATCACCAGCACCCATGGTTGCATTTTGGTACTTCAGCAGAGCCTAACTTCCAGTTCTTCAAAAAGCACCTCTCCTGGCCACTGAACAAAGCTTGAAATGGGATCCCTGGCACCTCCTAACTCCATGTGTCCATTGCTATTCATCAGCTAAACCATCTAAACATCTTCTGGTGTTCTCCTCAGGCCAAGCTTGTGGGTTGGTATTGCAATACTGCTGTGTTAGTAGCACTGGGAGAGCTGAAGAGCTCTGAGATATGAGCAGCCACTGGTATCACATGCAGAATGACACCAGTCTGCCCACAGCAGCTTTGTGTGGTCCAGGGCTTCTTGGCACCCAGAGTTTGCAGTTTGGCCCCTGCAGGGGGGTGATTTTGTTTCTGCAGCCTAGAACACTTGATCCCTTCGTTGAGTCTGACCCATGATCCTCACTTCATGCTGAAGCATAGATGTAGTTGTTCAGGTCTTTTTCCCCTGCAGATGAGTATTTGGGAGAAGTCAAAAGACCCTGACTAAGGCAGGGCCTGCTGGGGCTGTGATGCTCACAGGAGATGTTCTCCACTCACCATTTTGCAGCTGAGGTGTTCTATGCCTGCAGTCTTCAGCCCAGAAACTCAAGTGGTTTAACACCTCATAGAGGGAGTGCTGGGGAGAGCACCCCAGAGAGCCACACTTTCACAGCTTCTGTCACCCAGGAGCCTGCTTCTCCTCCTGGGACCTTCACGTGCCTCCTGCTTTTCCCACTGAGCACCTGGCTCCATTCTCACCTGCCCAGCCTCCTCATGCTGGGACTTGGCAACACCCCAGAGTCTTCTGGAGGTGGATAGAGCCATCCTGGACACTTCAGGAGATGGTTTGCAACCATCTTGGGTGAGTCAGCCCAGCAGCAGACAGCTGAGGCCCAGAGGAGGCAAGAACCCAGCAAGGGAGTTACACTGGGTGTAGCAATGGGGTGGCAGGACCTGCCTACCCACCATCAGATTTATCTTGTCCTTCTTAATTTAATGTTACTCCCTCTAACCACTGTGGTGCACCTTGTCTCTGCAACTCTCCATTCTCATGCACTGTCTGCACTTCTCCACCTCTGTCCATCCATCCCCCTGCTGTCTCCATCCCTTCTCAGCTGGGTAAGCCAGTGTTTGCTCCACTCCCTCTCCATCCAGGCACAGCATCGTGCCAGCTGATGGGCTGGCAGTGATTTCTCATGCTTTGCTGCATGGCTTGGTGCAAGCAAAGATGAGATGAAGTTATTTTATGCCAGGGGGACATATCAGGACTAGTAGTGTGGCTGTGAGCAACCTTGCTGGCTTGTTCTATTGCTGACAAGTGACTGATGCACCATCAAAAAGAGCAAAATGCCCCCATCTGTGTGCTTGACCAGAAATGAAGGCATGGTGCCCTGGTTCAGCAAGGGACATAGAACATCTGAGCACTGAGCTTTGTGGTGTGCAGGTACATTCCCCTGAGGATTATGCCCACGTGTGACCTTGCTCCCTGTGCCTTCAGAGCAGCCCTTTCCAGGGTTGTTCCTACCCCTTCTTGCTGAATTCTGCTGCAGCGTGTGACAGCTCAGGCAGTCCCTGGAGTTGGTGCCCCTGATAATGAGGCACTTGTGAGCACAGAACTGTTCTTGGCAAATGCTGATCAAGTGAAGCTGCAAAGTCTATGTCTTGGAGTAGGGTTTTCTTGGGGTTTTTTTATCAGTTGGTTTATTTTGGAGGCACTTGCAGGGCTCTGTAGTTGGGTGGCTGGCTCCAGCCCATTTCTCAAAGCAGCAATTTGAAGCAGCAAGATCTTGTTGATTTGAGGTTGTATTGCACCTGAGCCCCCCCAGCATCCTGGACTCAGTCCTCCTGACAGCCTGCCTGAATCCTGCCCCTGACTGCAGTGCTTCTACAGCCTTGTCCAACTCGCTGTTTCACAGTATTCATGTCTTTGCTGGAGCTTTCTTCTCACTTCTGGCAGCCAGAGAATGGGTTTGTTTTCATCTTTCTCAATTGCTCAGCAATTAGCTGCTTTTCCACAGGGTGGCTGCTGACTCAGTTTGAGCTCAGAGATCATGTGCAAGAGGAAGAGACAGATCACAGATTCAAATAGAAGTGTCCTGGAGTTAGGATGTGTCCTGGACACAATAGACAAGAAAGCCAAAGAAGGGCCTGTGAGGCTGGTGACTTCTGCTGCATTATCTCACTGTACCCACTCACTTCCTAAAATGTGTTCCCCTCTGCACTGCAAAAAGCCTCTGCAGGCAGGAACCTCTGCTGTACATTTGCCTTTCCCACCTCAAGGCACAGGCACAAGTTGTCACCTTTCCTCTGTGCAAACTAATTTGATGTCTCCAGGTCTCAGGCAACACACCCACCTCACCTCCAGCCCCCCTCTTGTGGGGGGTTGTTATGGTGTTTTTTTATGTTCTCTCTCACCTCCTTCCTTTTTCCATCCACCAACCATCGTGCTGCTGACTTTTGGGTTTCCCCCTGTAATTCACCAGCCAACAAGCAGACAAATCTCTCTTCCCTCTGCTGAAAAACCCTGCAGGTTTCCCCACAGCTCTTCTGCAGCTGGTGCAACAACTGCACTACCTGCTGGTAGCCTTTAGCTGTGGGGTCCAGTTCTGGGCATCAGCCATGGGAGTGCTCTGAGAGGAGACAAAGATGACTGAGCCTCATGTTGTGGGTGCACTGCAGGTTTGTAACAGTGCTTTCTTCTTCTTTTTCTTCATCTCTCAAGGTACCAGCTCATCTGGAGCCAGCACTGACAGGAGGCATTATGAAGAGTATCAGACAGAGCTGCTCAGAGGCAGCACTGGCTCCCCAGGCAGCCAGAGAGCACGTCTGCAGCCACCCATGGTGGGGCAGGGGGGTGGGCTATTGTGGGTTGACCCCAAGGCCTCATCTTTCTGATCCTTTCACTTGGGAAGAAGCCTCTAGGTCATCTGCTGTGCATGCTTGTGGGCAGGAGTTTCTGGTGTCAGTCTCTTTCAAGAGGTTATTTTCTTGCAGAGAGGACACATGTCCCTTCTGGACACTTCCTATATCACCTTCTGGAGCTTCATCCCTTCCCAGTAGCCCAGTGAGATCCTTCCTCTTCCTCTCTGAGTCCCTAAGCAAGGTCCTGGCTCTGCTGTTTGTGGCCATCTTCCTGGTCATCCTGGATGGCCACCCTGTTGACATCCTGATGCAAACCCAGTGTCAGGATGCTGTTGGGATCCTCAGGAATGCTGCTGGCACCTCATGCTCTCCTCTCACTAACTCCATTGTCCTCTCCATGTGATGTCACCATGTGCTCTGTCCTTGGGGACTTCACTCCAGGATGGGAAGGCTGCAACATGGCAGGGCACTGGAGACACTTATCTTTCCTTTGTAGTATCAGACTCCTTTTTCAGAACCCTACAGTTCCCACTGACTCCTCCACTGCTCTGCTCCAGTCTTTTGGAGAGGTGGGATTGCTGGGGTTGGCTTGGCAAAAACTCACCTGCCTTTAGCCCCTCAGCCCTTGCAGGCTGGGAAAATGGCTCACCTGACTGTGGTGAGGGGTGAAGGGTTTGGGAAGGCAGATGCCACAGACTGGCCTCAGGGATGCCGGATGACCTGGCAGCATCAGCCCCAAATAGTCTTGGCATTGGTCAGTGATGAACATGCTCCAGGTTGTGACATCCTCCCAGAGCACCTGCAGGGCCCTCATGTGCCACAGCAGGAAGTTCCCACTGTTTCAGGAGCTGGGTCATCATTTACCATAATGGCAATCAAACCCAGCAGGGACGAGGCACTGCCCAGCCCTGCCTGTCTCACTGCCTGGGGACACAGTGTCACACGTGCAGGTTTGCAGACCCATCCAAGTGCTGCAATTTCAAGGCACTCTGAGTGTCCCTGTACCAGGGTCAGTCTGGAGGGCAGACATTAGATCACTTGAAAAGTTTGGAGCAAGAGCTGGAAAGGTTATTTCCAGGTGTTATCTCCACCATTTAAAAAGAAGTCATTTGAGACACAGGAGTGCTGTCATGGGCAAGTAAAGAAAGCAAAGAGCCCTATAGAAAATCAGCACAGGAGACCTTTCAGCTTCAAGCCCTTGAGATAAACTCAAGCTTCACCACCATGTCTGAATTTTTTCTTTATTGCTCTGCTTAAATGCAAAACTCCCCAGAAGTTTCACGAGCTGCTCCTTTCCCTTACAGAACATTGGGAAAAAGATGTCGTGTCAACAGTTCATAGCAAACCTGGATGGGCTGAATGATGGGAAGGACTTTGCAAAGGATTTGCTGAAGGTAACATGATAGAAATAGACAGTGGGACACTGTCTTTATTGTGATGGTGCTGCCTAGTTCTTCTGAGATGCTCTGAGCCCTTGAATCAGCATTTCCCAGTGCACAGTTGTTTCATTACAAGAATGGTGACCCACATGGATAGTTTCTGTTAACTTCCAGTGAGCCACCAGAGGGTTGTTCCCTGGGGATGCTGTTTCCAGAGTTGTGGCATATCTGCCCTTGGAGCATAGCAGGGGTCCCCCATGGTAGTTCTGTGATGCACCAGAGGATGCACAGAACAAGGGACCCCCAGCCCCCCAGTGTGACCATCTCACACTGATACTTGTCTCTGCCTTCACTTCCATGTGATGCTCCACCACAACTAGTTCAGTACCATGGGATACTGGTTAAACACCCCACAGGGAGTGTCTGCTCCTTCCACATGCTTTACCACCACTGTCTGCATCTCCTGCAGATCCAGCAGCCTAACCTGGATTTTGTTTTAGGAGAGGAGGTTGAAATAACCAGAGCTACAGCAGGGTTGTCACATAGTGCTTTAGATGACACCCCCACCTCCCAGAAGACCTCACCCTACCCCACCTCTCAGGATGGCCAGGGCCAGCTCCATATTCTGCATTTCTAGCCCATTCCTGCTTCTTTCCCAGTGCCACTGGAATTTTGCACAGGAGGAACTGCAAATCCCTCCCCTATCTCTCAGGCAAATGTTCAAGCCTCCACTGTCTCTTTCCCCTAGTCAAGACACTGGAGGTGTCTTGGCATACCTCATAGTCTTCTACCACCTCTGTGTAGGCCAGGATTCACTCAGAACCAGGTACAGCCCCAAAAATCAGTAAAAAAAATGTCTTATGCAGGCTCCTGAGCCAGGCTGGCTGCCAGACCCCTCTGCTGCTGATGTGTCCAGTCCAAAACCTGGCATGACTTGAAGACAAGGTCTAGCATCAATTGTCCTGCTCACTGGTGAATATTTCTCCAGGATAGTTCAGCAAGGAAGATATCTCCAAGAGCACAAACAGGGTGTGGATGAGATGGTCTCCACAACCCAGATATGCCTTCCATGAGAGACACAGCTAACACCATGTTCTTGTTTCAGACACTATATAACTCCATCAAGAATGAGAAGCTGGAGTGGGCCATGTAAGTATATGTTAAGCATTTGAGAGATAGTGTGTCTTTCAAAGGAGCTGACAGGTCTTGAGTCATGTTTTTAGCCCCAGAAGTTCCCAGTCCCTCCTGTAGGCAAGCTGGGTTCATTTATAGCTTAGCCACAAAAGCAGAAAGGGAGGCTGGTGGCACAGGGTCCACAGGCATGGTCTAAACAAAGGGGATGCCCTTTTTGTTTACTACTACATCTGTAAAAAGCTTGTTCCTCTTCAGGTGCTCCCTTGTGCTCCTTGTCTTTGCACAAGGAGCACAAGGCCTGGGGTTATTTTGGTCACTGAGACTTTTCCACATAGTTCCTTCTGGAAATAGTATCAGATAATCACTTGGGTGGGAAGGGACCTTGTGAGATCTCCAGTCCAGCTTCCTCCTCAAAGTATGGTCAACATTGAGTCAGACCAGGATGCTCAGGGCTTTGTTCAGTTTGATCCTGGAAATGTCCAAGGACAGAGAACCCACAGCCCCTCTGGATCCAGGAACCAATACTTAGTTATTCCAAGTGACATTTTTTTCTTATCCATTTGAAACCACTGTTTGTTTGACTTATGCCCACTCTCTCTTGCCTTCCTGCCATGCAACAAAGTGAAGAGCCTGCATCTGTCCCCTTGATGACCTCTTCACACATACTGGAAGGCTGCCATAAAGTTCCCCAAAGCCATCTCTTCTCTAGGTTGAACAAGTCCAGTTCCCTTAGTCACTTCTTGCATTGCAAGTGCTCGAGCACCCAGGCATCTCAGTGGCCTCTGCTGAACTCTTTCCACCCTGTTGATGCCCTTTCCTCTGTTGGGGGCCCAATTCCCTTTTGCTGTGTGATGTAGTGAGGGCAGAGCAGAGGAAGATGATAATTTCTCCTGGCCTCCTCACTGTACCTCTGTGACATAGCCCAGGATTCTCCTGCCCTTCACTTCTGTCACACACTGCCTGGCTCCTGCTCATCCTTCTGTTCACCAGGAGCCCCAGGGGCTTTTCTGCAGAGCTGTCCCCTAGCTGCTCAGCTCCAGCCAACTCTTCTGTAGGACCACCCCAGTGCAGCCCTGGGCAGCTACATTTAGTGAGACTCCTGTTCCTCTGAGCCTCTCATTTTTGTGTCATCCACAAACTCCATGAGATGCCCCCTGTCTCCTCCTCCAGATCTTAATTTGTTACCCTGAAACAAGTCTAGGAACAGGTAGCATGTTGGCCTCTATGACAGGTTCATGCATTACTTTCCTCAACCCTTCTTCCCTTGCTTTGCTACCCACCCCCTGTCCAGGGCACAGGCCAGGACTCTCAGCGAGAGGTGCATGGTGAACCCCAGCCTCAGCACATCACTGCTGCCTTGGGGAAGCTCACAATAGACCTGGGATCTTCAGCCAACACAGTGGGCATCCTGTCTCTTCTCTCCTCTCTCTTCTCTCCTCTCTCCTCTCTCCTCTCTCCTCTCTCCTCTCTCCTCTCTCCTCT